CGCAGCTAACATTGACATTAGCTGAGAAAGTCGGCTTAGCAGGACCGTGCGCCATGGCTTCAGTATGTTAACCGGAATCACATGGCAAAATAGCAATAATCCTTTTGCTGTGTTTTATCGGGTGTCACTTTCCGTATAATTTAACGTCGTGTGTAGGGATTGTATCCGCATTAGCCATCGTGCTAGCTACAATTAGCAAGGTTTGGAAAGCTGTTATGGTGCCTTCATGACCGCTCGAAAACGTTTTACTACTTCCGAGGTCGCAGGTATTATGAAAGTCCTTGTTTTTCCTGTAAATAGTAATAGGAGGCAAACATATCTTGTACCAGGAACAACTATTTATGGCTGCTTTTGTGTGTTGTATCACTGCATTTAAGGAGGCATTGATATTCAGGTAGTAATAACGACACATTTAGCAACCAGGCGCTAATGTGTGGCTGCATGATTTTTAATAACCCTTCCTGGCACGGTTATCTAGACGCCACGTCTGAGCAACCATGTAGATATAAAAAAAAACAAAAAAAAACAAAACTTAGGCGGTCTTTTCTCCCGCTTTGGCTTTGACCGACATTTTACAGTCGTAATTTTAAGTTTTCCTACTGCACCTCAAGGCAGCATTGTTTGTACAAAGGTAATGTTAGGCTGAAACGACACAAAAGTTTGTTCAACTTAAGTCGAATACGTGATCTAATTAAATTTTACGGCTGAAATGAAATGTATTCACAAATATCTGTTTGTTCAAACAATAACGGCCAATTTTACTATTTCTAATGTTTTATAGACCAGTTAACAATGACACAAAACTGCACCGTCCTCCACTTCCGTTGTCTAAAAAAGTGAAGCTGGGAACTTTTACATTCGTCTTTAAATCAGTCACAAAGACTTGTGACTACAGAAAATAAATCTCGTCTAAAACTAGAAGGATTTTATTGAAATTATCAGAGGCTTTAACAAAGTCACATCAAATAAAGCATATATCAAAATGAAATGTAGCCTACAATAAAAGGTTCTCTGTGACTTCACTTCTACAAAAACACACACATATAGACTTCTACCTATAAAATGAATCAGAGATCAATGTAAGAAAACACAGTAATATTGGTTACCTTGAGTAATACAAAAATCATACTATCATAATCTCTCAAGGTCTATCAACATATTTTCCAGTTAAAGCACAAAACATTGTAAAAGCAACAAAGTGAACAAGCCAAATTATTTGAAGAAATTTAGATGAAGGCTTTGGCATCTGATAGTCATCATGAAATGGATACTCTGGATGATCAGACCACCTGCTGAAACAATAAAGACAAATAGTAATAACGTAACAAAACATCAGTCACACAGTACGCACTATACTCCCATGAGAAGCCCCATATAATGAATATTCTTGTTCAGTTCCTCATTTGCCTTCATGTCAGCCTCAGAAAGAGAGAAGTTGAATATCTGCAGTGGTAAAAACAGATCACAGACAAAAGGAAAGGGCTGCACGTTCCATTGTGGGCGTGGCCGGTGTTCTGTGCCTGGAGCAAATTACGGAAAACCCAGCTCCATATGATGTCACATAGAGACGGTTTCTTGACTAGAAAAAAAAGTACTGAAATCTGAGGTTTTGGCTCACAGGGAACATCTGACTTTGCAACATTATAGATATAACAGAAAATACAGAAAAGGAAAATAGGTCACCTTTAAGTGCAGCTGTTTTTCATTTAGAGAAAATATAGGCCTAGTTCTTCTAATACTGACATGATAGCAGATTCAACAGAAACTGTTCCACATCAGCGGCAGACATCTTGGTTGTTTAAGGAAATGGTCAATAAGGTCCTCGTCTGTGTACAGTCTTTGATACTAAGACTAACCCTATGTTAGATAAACTTTTGTGATTTGCCTGACCGGATCCAGGACAGGTGGAAATCTGTCTGAATGGAAGGGGGTCCAGACTTATGCTGTGTGCAAACCATAGATTTCGAGGGAGCTCTTTTTTCCACCCTGGAACTGGGGGAGGCAGCTTACTGTGATTCTTACTGCTGAATCATTACTAGCTGCAAGGATGTAGGCCTGGGGCTGAATGTGAAAGTATCAGGCATTGTTTGTCTTATTATTATAATAGTAATTATTATTATATGTAGCCATTTTGCTACAATTATGCTTCACACAACAGCTGCAGTACAGCTGCTGCTGTATTTCGACCTGACCTTTCTTTTCTCCCCGACAGGGAAGAATTTAGAAAGTTGCGTGGCGCTGCGGAGAGCCCCAAGATGCACTTGTGCATGGATCATGCATAAAATTCATTCAGCCAGAGGGAATGATCACGAACCGTTCACAGCGCGTCAGTCATACTAGCGACACGCTGGAACCCACAGGGCCAGGGCCAGGAGATCATTGAGCGACAGGTTGTGCTGCAGATGGTCGGTGATCGTTGCCTCTGGCTGGATGAAGCCTGATGATCCATGATGATACAGAAATATAGAAATTAATGGCAAAAAAGCAGACTGTCAATATTTTAGAGACCCCCCAAAATTTCACAAATCATATTTTGAGGGGAGATCATGTCTTATAAAGGGGAGCTATGCTCCCCCTGGCTCCCAATAGTTTGCACCCTTTGTCCAAGACAATAAAACATGAGCTCACAGGTTTGTCCGGTTCCTAGGCTAATGTTAGTCAACATTTATATACTAAAGCCAGTTTTCTTAAGGGCATCTTTTGCTTTTTCTGGTTAGCATAACACCAAGTCACTGACTAAGGTCATTTTCTTGTCTTCTTACAATAAAAGAAATCCAAAGTTTGATGTCATTTGCCTTATTTCTAGAACAGCGGTGCATTATCAGTACCTGGTTTGACACAGGTTTGTGTTTCAGCCCTGGTTTGTTAAGGATCAACTCCAGCTGTCACTTGTTGAATTTGGATACTCCAAGAGATTTTACTAGCCCAGCGTCTTTGCAAGCCTCCAAAGCCTGTCCAAGGTGTAAAAAGAGCGAAGCCAGAAAGCTAGACTTTGAACGTTGTAGTGTCAGGTTCCTGACCTTATACACATATGCCTATGATTAATTATGAATGATGATTATCTGTCTTTTTCATGGACATAGCAATAGTAAGCAGTAGGAAGGCTGAAACTAATAGGGTTGTAAGTGGAAAGGCTTCATAGATTTCACTGGAGAGTATAGGGACCGGTGATTTTTTTAGTCAATGTTGTAAATACAGGTGCTGGTCATATAATTAGAATATCATCAAAAAGTTGATTTATTTCAGTAATTCCATTCAAAAAGTGAAACTTGTATAATGTATACATTCATTCCACACAGACTGATATATTTCAAGTGTTCATTCCTTTTAATTTTGATGATTATAACTGACAACTAATGAAAACCCCAAAATCAGTATCTCAGAAAATTAGAATATTGTGAAAAGGTTCGATATTGAAGACACCTGGTGCCACACTCTAATCAGCTAATTAACTCAAAACACTTGCAAAGGCATTTAAATGGTCTCTCAGTCTAGTTCTGTAGGCTACACAATCATGGGGAAGACTGCTGACTTGACGGCTGTCCAAAAGCCGACCAATGACCCCTTGCGCAAGGAGGACAAGACACAAAAGTTCATTGCTAAAGAGGCTGGCTGTTCACAGAGCTCTGTGTCCAAGCACGTTAATAGAGAAGCGAGGGAAGGAGAAGTGTACAGGCAATAGGGATAACCGCACCCTGGAGAGGATTGTGAAACAAAACCCATTCAAAAATGTGGGGGAGATTCACAAAGAGTGGAATGCAGCTGGAGTCAGTGCTTCAAGAACCACCACGCACAGATGTATGCAAGACACGGGTTTCAACCGTCACATTCCTTGTGTCAAGCCACTCTTTAACAAGACACAGCGTCAGAAGCGTCTCGCCTGGGCTAAAGACAAAAAGGACTGGACTGCTGCTGAGTGGTCCAAAGTTCTCTGATGAAAGTAAATTTTGCATTTCCTTTGGAAATCAAGGTCCCAGAGTCTGGAGGAAGAGAGGAGAGGCACAGAATCCACATTGCTTGAAGTCCAGTATAAAGTTTCCACAGTCAGTGATGGTTTGGGGTGCCATGTCATCTGCTGGTGTTGGTCCACTGTGCTTTCTGAGGTTCAAGGTCAACGTAGCTGTCTACAAGGAAGTTTTAGAGCACTTCATGCTTGCTGCTGCTGACCAACTTTATCGAGATGCAGATTTCATTTTCCATCAGGACTTGGCACCTGCACACAGTGCCAAAGCTACCAGTACCTGGTTTAAGGACCATGGTATCCCTGTTCTTAATTGGCCAGCAAACTCGCCTGACCTTAACCCTATAGAAAATCTATGGGGTATTGTGAAAAGGAAGATGCGATATGCCAGACCCAACAATGCAGAAGAGCTGAAGGCCACTATCAGAGCAACCTGGGCTCTCACAACTCCTGAGCAGTGCCACAGACTGATCGACTCCATGCCACACCGCATTGCTGCAGTAATTCAGGCAAAAGGAGCCCCAACTAAGTATTGAGTGCTGTACATGCTCATACTTTTCATGTTCATACTTTTCAGTTGGCCAACATTTCTAAAAATCCTTTTTTTGTATTGGTCTTAAGTAATATTCTAATTTTCAGAGATACTGTATTTGGGATTTTCATTAGTTGCCAGTTTTAATCATCACAATTAAATGAAATAAACATTTGAAATATATCAGTCTGTGTGTTTTAATGAATGAATATAATATCCGTTAATATCCGTGAAATAAGTTTCACTTTTTGAATGGAATTACTGTAATAAATCAACTTTTTGATGATATTCTAATTATACGACCAGCACCTGTAAATGAGTTACCAAATCAGCAAAACGTTCTATTCTTGAATGGACAGTAGACTGTAGTCACGTAGCACAGAGATCAGTCTCATAATAAATGTACTTCCCATTCTCATCTTTGGGTTCAAATGTATCTCCTGGCTTCAGAAAATAAAGAAAGAACAATGTAAGTTATTAACAAAATGCCATGCACTGCTACAGATCTTATGGATTGAAAACTTAAATTTATTTACAGATATTTTTACACATTCAAGCATTTAAATTAATTTGATCAAAACGTTTTTACTCATTCACACACAAGTGTTTTCACTCAGATTCAGATATGGTAATACAAAATTACAATATTATAGACAATATATTTATTCCATAAATACATGATCTAACTTGATTTTACAGCTCAATTTAAAATGTCATATTTATAAATATTGATTTATTCCAACAATTATGGTCAGTTTAACTATTTCTAATGTTTCTAGAACTGTTTACAAACACACAATACTACACCATCCTCTGCTCTAAAACGAAACGATTTTATTGAAGTTATCAGATTCTTGAATAAATTCACATCAAACAAAGCATATCAGAATGAAATGTCGTCTACAATAAAAGGTCTATCAACATATTTTCCAGTTAAAGCACAAAACATTGTAAAAGCAACAAAGTGAATAAGCCAAATTATTTGAACAAATTCAGATGAAGGCTGTGGCGTCTAATAGTCATCATGAAATGGATACTCTGGATGATCAGACCACCTGTTCAAACAATAAAAATAAATAGTAATAATTTATTTAATACAGTAACACAACACAACATCAGTCACACACCTACACACTATACTCACATGAGAAGCTCAACAAAACGAATATTCTTGTTCAGTATCTCAATTGCCTTCATCTCAGCCTCAGCAAGAGAGAAGTCGAATATCTGCAGTGTAAAAAAACAGATCAATTGCAACACATTTCCTGTTTTTGAAGTTGTTCTTTTGCAGGCTATACACTATGGAACATCCAAAGTGAAAGTGAACATGGGCTGAAAATTGTACTATGAATGGGAATATTATGTGTAATATTAAGTGTAAAACGTACATCTCTTTGCCGTCCAACGTTTTCATTTGTAGCATGTCTAAATGAGCTATTTTAATAAATTTATGAGAATTAATATCCAATTATGAATTTTAATATTCAAAAATACATTAATCCATAAAAAGCTCTCGTTTCGAAAAAGAAGGGGCACCACCGGAGTTTTTATTATCCTAGAGTCTCCGGACCTCTAGGTAGCTTTTAATAATTATACAATTATTCACCAGTGATCAGTTAGTTAATAATCACTCAGTTATCTTAAATCAGTCAGTCAGTCTCATATCTAAAGGGTCAATTCTCTTGGCAGGGACGTAGAAATAGGCAACACACACAATTTCTTGATTAGAGTGAATTTATTAACTAACTAAAGCGATATAAAGGGTGGTTAAATACATCAGGGAAAATAAACAATGGCTAAACAATGAGAATGGAGGTTCGATTGTGGGAAGCATTTGACTCATACGGCAACTAACGAATGCAATTAGATGATAACTCGGTTAAATTTGTCTAGGGGTATAAAGATTCCGTATGCTGGACTAAAGAAAAATGGATTAGCAACTATTGGACGTCACTGACCACAGAATATAGTGGGGGCCTTCCTTCTTCGGGTCAGGTTTATGTCGTCCTTTGTGGTTGCTGGCGAGCCACGTGGGGTCGTCCAACCTCCGTGGGCTTAGCTCGACAAAAAAGCTTAAAAAGGGAACTTGGTCGTTCCTGAATTAGACCAGTGTAACTTAACGGATTGGTTACACATAAGATGAAGGAGCGTCCTTAATCTTGCTGAAAATAAAAACACTAACACTCTTCCAGGGACAGCATATCCACACTGAAGATAGGTACCAGTCATCGGCTGCTCGACCTGACTGAGTGGGCGGGCCACAACATGTTGATTGACAGTTAAGGAAGAGGAAGGAAAAAGCAATACACGTAGGTCTCTAAGGGAAAAGCAATGACAATAGGTCTCTAAGGGAAAAGCAATGACAATAGGTCTCCTTGGGGAAAGGCAAAAGCAAATGTATGTATTTATTCTTTTATTCATTCATTCTTTCTTTGATATATTTCTGCATTTATTTATTTATTCTTTTATTCATTCTATCTTTGATATATTTCTGCATTTATTTATTTATTCTTTTATTCATTCTATCTTTGATATATTTCTGCATTTATTTATTTATTCTTTTATTAATTCATTCTTTCTTTGATATATTTCCCCATTTATTTATTTATTCTTTTATTCATTCATTCTTTGATATATTTCTGCATTTATTTATTTATTCTTTTATTAATTCATTCTTTCTTTGATATATTTCCCCATTTATTTATTTATTCTTTTATTCATTCATTCTTTCTTGCATTTATTTCTCCATTTATTTATTTATTCTTTCATTCAGTTCTGTCCCTTTGGATGTTCCATAATACCCTGCCTAAACTGATGCCATACAAACAAACCTGAAAGTTCTCCTTGATACGAATAGGGGTGAAGCTCTTTGGGATGACCACCACTCCTCTCTGCACGTTGAACCTCAAGGCCACCTGTGCTGCAGTCTTGTTATACTTTTTAGCAATTGATACAAGTAGCTCATCTTCCAACAGTGGGGGGGATTTTAGGTTTACCCTGTTAAAATGATTAGTACTTAGTACTAAGCAAATTCTATTTTCACAGTGAAATGCCAACTTTATAAGTGCTTATGCATGCAAATTACTCAAAGAACATCATGTCTTTAATAGCTCCACTCAAAGTGAATCACTTGGAATTTCTCTTCCCTACCAGGACGCATCTCTAGATGTCCCCAAGGGGCTGTATCCCACAATGACAATATCATTCTGCCGGCAGAACTCAAGCAACTTCGGCTGAGTGAAATAGGGATGACATTCAACCTGTGTTTTTAAAAAAAGCACAAATGGTGTTTGTTAGCAGCCATCTTAGTTGTTTACGGAATTGCCTCAAAGGCCAAAAAGGTCCTCCTCTTTATAGTTTTATACATAGACTGTGGTTTTATATCAAGACCGCCCCATATTAGATAAACAGTTGTGATCCAACCGGATCCTTAACAGATGGAGATCTGTCTGAATGGGAGGGAGCCAGACGCATGTGGGTGTGGCCAACCTGTAGTCATCACAGCAAAAACTTGACATTTCCTATTGCCAGTAGGTGATGCTAAAGTTCAAAATCTGTAAATCACCAAAAATGACCAATAATTCAAAATAGCTGACTTCCTGTTGGGTTTAGGGCATCGTTCTAAGGCTACGTTCAGACTGCAGGCCTTAATGCTCAATTCCGATTTGTTTCCCCCCAGATCCGATTTTCTTTTTTGTTGGACAGTTCACATTATAGTTTAAATGTGGCCCATATTAGACTCCAGTGTGAACTGACCCGCATGCGCAGAAGAATAACACAAAGTCACACGCAGCACGCTGTTGCCGCCGCAGAAGTGAACAAGGAGCAACAGAGGTTTGATCCGGTTAGCTCGCGGGAGACTCGCGTTTTTCATTGTCCTCTCACGGGTCACATTTCTCCGGAATTATAACAAGTGTTCACAACTTTTTGTTCTTTTCTTTAGGGTTTCTGGCGCTGGACAACGCAACTGCCCCACAACTCACTCACTCCCTCTCTCTCCCTCTCTCTCTCTCTCCCTCTCCCCACTCTGTCCGCTCGGACAGGTAGCATGCAAATAACTCAGAAGAGAGCTCCGGTCCGGTGAATTTCAGGTATAAAAAAGGGGATTTGTGAGCAGATGATAGCGAGGTAGAGAAGGAAGAGGGCTACATGTTTAATAATGGCTTTTTGTGGAGCTTTTTCGTTCAGCGCGGCTCCGTCTACAGCAGACCTGAGTGTCCAGCTGAAGTCGCATTTAAAAAGATCCGATATGTATCGGATTTGGACCAAATATGAAAGTGGCCCAATTCCGAACTGGAAAAGATCAGATTCCATGTGACTTGGCCTGTTCACACTTTCATAAAAAGGATCAGATGTGAGTCACATATGGGCAAATAAATCGGATTTGGGTCACTTTGGCCTGCAGTCTGAACGTAGCTTAAGAGGCTTTTTGTAGGTCTGGATATCATCTGCCACAAAAATGTCATACATGTAGGTCAAACGTGTTGCACATTTCATGCCCTAATGAGCATGCAGGTCCCTCTGGTTCGAAGGTTAGTATAACCCTGCATTCATGTGGTGTCAGAATAATGGGAAAAAATATAACTGGGAAAATTCACTTGAATGCCCCCTCAAGCAGGAACAACAACAGGGTTGGTTTTAGGGAATATACTGGTGCAGCAACAAATCTGGAACAAAATCACTGATCTTCTAACTATTTCAATACACATGTTTCAATCATACATAACCACCCATCACCCAGGCTCTATATAAAATGTCCATGTTGTTTCCACATTACCAGTTAAAGTTCATGAACACACCTTAGTCAGAAAAACTACTTCCCAACTCGGGAAATGGGACTGTCCGAGGAGCATGTGAATGCAGTTAACGTTTATGTACCAAGCCAGTTTTCATAAGTGCATCTTTACAGTTTTGATAGTATCTATTTAGCGTAATAGGCTACTAAGTTGCTGACTAGGGACATTTTATTCTGTTTGACAGCAGTTTCTTTTTTTTTAATATAATCTAAAGTTTGATGTCATTTGTCTTATTTCTAGAACAGCGGTGCATTGTCAGTACCTGGTTTGACACAGGTTTGTGTTTCAGCCCCGGTTTGTTAAGGATCAACTCCAGTTGGCGCTTGTTGAAGTTGGATACTCCAAGAGATTTTACTAGCCCAGCGTCTTTGCAAGCCTCTAAAGCCTGTCCAAGGTGTAAAAAGGGCGAAGCCAGAAAGCAATATGTTAGACTTTGAACCTGGTATGGTAAAGTTGCTGACTTTAAGCATGTCTATAATGAACAGCCAGTATTATCTATTTTTATCTGCATGTAAAATGGACTAAGCAGTACGAAGGCTGGAACTAATATGGTTGTAAGAGGAAAGGCTTTGTAGATTTCCCTGGAGAGAAAAGGGACAGCTGATTTTCGCCACGAATCATTTAGTCAATGTTGTAAAGAAATGAGTTACCAGATAAACAAAATGTTCTATTTTTGAATGGACAGTAGACTGTAGTCTCACCTCCCACGTAGCACAGAGATCTGTCTCATGATAAATCCACTTCCCATTCTCATCTTTGGGGTAAAATGTATCTCCTGGCTTCAGAAAATAATAGGTGAGGGAGAACAAATGTAATTCTGTTTTCTCCATTTCAACAGATGCATTTTTTTGATATGACATTAAATACATGTAGGCCTATACCTTGAAGGCTGTTGGCATTTCTACAATATAGAGGTCGACATAATCCAGCTGTAAGGTCTTCAAGGTTTTCTCTAAAGCAGGTCGTACCAATTGTGGGGGGTGGAATGTGTTCCATAACTGCATAATTAGTGCAAAGGAAAAGGTGTTAGTTGTTGCATAAGTGTAACATTCACTTTGTAGCCATGAAGGTTGTTGTTGGGAAAGGTTCACTGGTCAACTGCCAAAAGATCTACACAAACAAGCAAACTTTGCAGACCTTTCCACAGTAGAAGATGTCCTCTCTCTTCACAGTTCCATCAGCAATTTTCTCCCTTATTGCTTGTCCCACCTCGTGTTCATTGAAATAGATCAAAGCCCCATCGAGGTGTCTATATCCTGTTTCAATAGCCACTTTGACTGATTCATATGCAGTTCCTTTAGGGGTCTATCAGAAGACACACTTTATGAGTGAATAAATAATAAATATGTAAATCTTTAAACTGTATGTGTGACATGCAGGTCAGTTATTAGTTAATGCCATGTAAGCAGTCTGGCTGAATAGTGTGTCTTACCGTATGGGGATCCCCATAAGTTCCCAGTCCTATCAAAGGTATCCTGTTTCCATCACTCAGAGGAATGGAGTGACTCTCAGCTGTCAAGTCCATGTTCATCAAAGAATTAGTCCAAACGTTCCCAGTGCTGCTGCTTTTGGTTTTACTCAAACCTCAGACTAACTAAACCATTCAATGTAAGTTGTGTGGCTTGTCCTAATGCACTTCTACAGCAGAGACTCCTCCCAGGTAATGCAAAGGGCAGCCTCCCGTACAAACGGGCAAATAACTGCGAGAGTGATACAACAGCATTGCCTAACACATTCACACGTAAACAAGGATAATAATTACCATTTTGACTCCGGGGCTCGTTATTTATCATAGGTTAGTGACCAATGGTTGAAAATATCAAATTTAAAGTTGCCCTCCACAGAATGTAGTGTGGCCCAACGTGGCACTGTAGCTTTAAATTACCGAGGTGCACTCTGGGTAATAAATGGTATGTGTTTTGAGCAAAGAAGTCTCAGATGGTCGCCTTTCCAGTGGACATATGAGCTTCCAAATGCTGTGTATGTAGTGTAATGTTAATTCATTAATGAGTGTGCGCTGTTATCTTTCGCCTGTTTAAGTAAGAACCTCCACAAACCGGGGAGTTGTATTGTCTCTAGCATATGTGCAATTAAAATAGGCTACGTAGCTAATTTAGCTTCCAAAACGGAAAGAATAAGAACACTTCAAAGCTGTGATAGCACGCTTTAAAACCGTCTTGTAGGGGTGAAATGAGTATGCATTTCATGTTGTAATGCATAATATTATTTATATTGCCTATCTGGCTTGTTAAGTCAGGGAAATTATAGGCTATCCTTTGTTTCCAATCGCACCGCTAACGTTAAATTGATTGGTTGCCTGGAAGGCTCGGGTAGCTGCAGAGAAAATGGATGAAAATGCCGAAAATGTTGACAACGACGACATTGTCATCATCGTGGAGAACGAGGCAGAAAGTTTGCCGGCCGAGGAAGAGAGGTTGAAGCAGCAAGGCACTTTCGGGCTGATGGACACTTGTCCGATCTGCAAGTTGAGCTTCCATAACAGAGAGCCCAAACTCCTGCCGTGTCTTCACTCTTTCTGCAAGAGGTGTCTCCCTGCTCCCTTCAGGAGCTCTGACCCGAGGCGTGACTCGCAAGGACAAGTTGACAACAACAAATCACGTGAGAATAGTGGCTTTATATCTCTGACAGAGCTGTAATTTATTTTAACTGTGGCAGATTGTGATAACAAAGCTGAAGCAGGTTGGGTTAGCCAGTAGCTAATATGTAAGTAATTAAATTTTAGGTTAAGCTTAGTCATGTAACTGTTGAACCTGTGAAGCACATGTGTGGGGCTGGATGCTGTGCACAATGCAAAACCTCAGGATGTTTTGACATTCATATAATGTGGTAGTTTGGTGTTGCTGTCAAAATATAGTCACACAGCATTATTAATGTGCATATAATGACCAGACAGGCGGAGACATTCATTGTTGATGTCACTCAGCAGGAAAAGACAAAGTCATGTGTGTAATTTAACTGAAACTCGGCCTTTAAGACCAGCTAAACAAAACATCCTAGTCTCAAAGCAGCAAGTCCATACTGTAGCTGCCTATCATGTATCTCTGTCTTCATACCATATGATATAGTGTTATGGCCAAGTGTCACCCAGCTCTGTGTTTCTTTGAAACAATAGTCATATAAGTAGTTGTGAGCTGACACCTTAAACAGTGGATCTGGTCTCTTGCTCCAGTGGGTGCCATTCGGTGTCCAGAGTGCAGACAGGAATGCTGGGAGATGGACGTGTTGGATAATTTCTTTGTCAAGGACTCCGCTGAGGTACCGAGCAGCACCGTAGAGAAAACCACCCAGGTTTGGCGTCACTTTGCTACCCCGAGCCTTACACCTTATCATTATTTGCTCGTCTTCCTTTTAATTTGTTGTTGTTGTTCTTTTCTTTTTTTTTTGTCTTCGATAGCTGTGTATGAGCTGCGATGACAACACAGAGGCAACAGGTTACTGCGTGGAGTGTGTGGAGTTTCTGTGTGTGACATGTGTTGAGGCGCACCAAAGGGTCAAGTTCACCAGGGATCACACCATACGCCAGAAGGAGGAGATGTCCCCAGGTAGTGTGTGTCGTACTTGGCAGGAAAACAGCAATTTCTCAGTAATACATTAACCTAAAATGAACAACCTCAAAGTACAAGTATGTAAAACTTACTTTTAAAGGAGGGGTTTCTACCTTCCAGAGTCGCGAGTAGTACGGACAAATTGTTCAGGCAGGATGTGAGTCATGACAATGATAGTAGTATAGGTGTATTAACAAACTAATCAAAAATTTAAGGTGACATAAACTGACTTTAAATTTCTCTTCTCTCTTTCTGTGTTTGTATCCCAGAAGCAGTAGGTATTTCCACGCAGAAGCCTGTGTTTTGTGACATCCACAAGCAGGAGCCACTGAAGCTGTTTTGTGAGACGTGTGACCGACTCACCTGTCGAGACTGTCAGCTGCTGAAGCACAAGGATCACAAGTAGGCCGAACACCCCCCCCCCCACCCCACACACAATAGAAATTCCATATTGTCCAATGTATCCTCCATAAATATTGATTTAAAGCGCCAATCTCTGTTTGCGAACAAGAATACCCAGTTATCAATGTAGGTAGGATAGATTAAATTGAACAGGGTCTAAAAAAAACAAGAATGGTTTTCATAAAAATGAGCTTTTAGTCATTAATGCACACATTCTTTGTGTCCAGCTACCAGTTTTTGGAGGATGCGTACAGGAACCACAGGCAGTATCTGGAGAACATGACACAGCAGTTGCAAGAGAAAAGAAAGGCCATCGAGGACGTTTCCAGCTGTATCCGCACTGGGTAAAGTTATCCTCTACAGCTTGAACTTGTTCAGAGTTTCTTTGTTTTTTTTAGATAGAAAAATATGTGTTGGCAATATTTTGACAGAAGAGTAAATGTAAAAATTTCCCAGACTTTAATTCCATTAAAAATCAGCTGCATATTGAAACTGATGGTGGATTCTATGAGGCATTAAAATACGTCATTTTCATATTCTGCTTTTGATTCTCACAGACTTCAGCAAGTTGAAGAAAACCGCAAGGCTGTAACTAATGAAATAAAGAAGTCCATCTGTAACTTGATTATGGAGATCAACAGGAAGGGAAAGATTCTCGTTAACCAGCTTGAGGTATTTTTAATCTGCATAGTTTAATGACTTTTCAAAGTCACTTCTGTGACAGTTAGCCTATTTTTTTTCCTGAGAGTTAATGCACACATTTACACCTAGGCTCTGACCAAGGACCATGAGTTGGGTTTGAAAAAGCAGCAAGAGGATGTCAACTCTCTGAGCAGGCACCTAGACCATGTCATCAACTTTACCAAATGGGCTACAGCTAGCCATAGTGGAACAGCCCTCCTGTACTGCAAGAGACTGGTAAGTGACTTCACCGTGTAAATTATTACATGTACTTTATGTTGCTTTTGATGTTTTACAATAATAATTTGATAAAATCCTACAATACTTTTAGGGCCACAGTAACTCCTGAAATGTCCCTGTCTTTTTGTCTTCTAGATCCTTTTTCAGATCCATTACCTGATGAGAGCGAGCTGTAATCCCTCCATCGTCCCTCAGAGTTCTGTTCGCTTTCAGTGTCGTTCTGGTTTCTGGGCCACGAACGTAGACCTTGGTAAGACTAGCATAGAGCTGCAAAGATTAATCGGAAAAGTGATTAGTTGTTGACTTAAGAGTAATCGCCAACCATTTGGATAATCAGTTTGAGTCATTTTTTAAAGAGGTGGTATTCTGCTTTTTGGCTTTTCCCCCTCTCCTTTATTGCGTTATATACCTTTTTTTGTGCATGTAATAGGTGAAAAAACGCCAAAGTCCACCCCAAAGGGAGTTCCCATCTCCCACAGAAAACACTGCTCTGAAGTGCTTGAAAACAGCTCGTTTGTAGTCTAGCCGCTTCCCTTTCCTCCCTGTGACGACACAGGGATGAAAGCTAAATGTGCCTCATAACGCTCGCCATGCGGCTTCTCCGACATGCCCTCAAAAACACCGGTGGAAAAACACCTCTCCTCTCCCTTCCAAACACTGGCTACCCTCCAGGCAGTCAATAGTCAATTTGGCCAACAGCAAAGTTATCATTAATCTTTAACCATAAATGACCTCGTTTTTTATTTGTTTTTAAAACACTTGCTACACTAGGCTACATCAGCCACTTATAGCATAACACATAAGAACCTCTGACTGATGGAGTTGCATTGTGGGTAATGTAGGCACTAGGTTTTGGCTGCAACATTTGGGTTTTAGGAGGACTGGGGAACAATTCATCATGATTTATTTTATTGTTAAATTGTTATTGTCTCCAGGTTCTCTGGTAGTAGAAAGGGGTCCGGGTCGACCGCCTATAACCAACCACCAGGCAGGACCCAGACCAGAGGCAAACACTGGAGGTCTCTCAGCCTCAGCACTTACAGCAGCTCAGCAGCGACAGAGCACGCTGGCTCAGCTCCAGATGCAGGTAGGATTTGTATCACAGTCGGTAAGTTTGGTACCCTGACAGGTTGCTTTTGTTTTGAGACAGAGAAGCGCAAAAAAAGCCATTGGTATGTTCAAATTTGTTAAATCTATCTTTATACTCACTCAGTGTTTCAATACTGTCAACAAAACTAAATAATATGCATTTATTTTTCATTTGACTGACATCTCTTATTGTGCTTTTTAAGGTGGACAAACTTTCCCAGCAGCCCCACAGGCAGCCCCCTCCCAACCACTGGTCCTGGTACCAAAATGTCAGGCTCCCAGGACCCCCCGGCCCTCCACCCCCAACCAGACCCATTCATGGAGGGACCTCCCCTTCCCAAGGCCCCCCCAGCCTGGGACAGCCGGTACGCAGATATGGCTCCCACCCCAACCCGAGAAGCCCCACATCATCCATGCTGCACAACACAGGATTCCCACCTGCTCAGGTATCTCCATGCAGGTAGAAAGAGTCGGTGTGTGGTGAATGTGTGCCACACATGGGCTGCTTGTCACATGGAAAGATTTTGTAGACGGCACTTATCAAAAAGTCAAATACCAGAAAGACTGCTTACGCTTGTAATAAAACATTTTTAGCGCTTGCATTGCCCACTTTTTTTTAAAAAACACCAGGCTCCATTGATGTGAATATTATTGAAACAGTTGAAATAAAACTTGATTATCTTCTGCCTCGAAAAGTGGAGTGATTCAAGTTGGTTTATCTACTGGATTATGTTGAATCCTTTCCAGCTTCTTGATAAATGTCTTTGACAAAATGTTTGACAAAGAAATAAAAGCAGAAATGGTATTTGTTTTATGCCGATGCTAAACTGGCTCTTTTTTTTAATTTTTATTTTAAAGCCTGCACTATTCTTTCAACTTAAATTTTTTTTTCCTACATCTAGTCTCTGAGAGATCTGATCCATAGCTCCAGCTTCCCTCCTAAACCCATGGATGTGTTGCAGGGTACGTCCCGCTACCCACAGCCTCTGTCGGCTGGAGCAGCTACACAGACGTCACTACACCAGGTTGGTAGGAGAGGAGAATGAAGAGGGTTTGCAGTCTCACATGAGCATGGTTCTAATCTAGAGAGAGAGAAAGCTTCAGGACAGCAACACCAACTCAAGCTGACAAAAACAAATTATCAACAAGCAAAAGTAAAAAAAATATATTGAATACTGGAAGGAAACGACCAAAACACAAAGTAAATTACAATATTATCTGACCTTAAAAAGTGAATTCATGCGTTTACTGTTCATTTATTTTATTTAAATTTTTAATATTTATTTTTACTTTATTATATTCTATATTTTTATTACTGTAATATTTTTAACACACAACAACACACTTTAACTGTTTACTTATTTAATGAAATGTATGAAATTAATTGTTCTTTTGTAATTTATTTGTAGCTTTACATTCATGCCAATAAAGCTGAATTGAATTGAAATTGCTGTTTGGGCTTGTTTTGTGTAGCTTTTATGAGCTGTTAATTAATTTACACCCTATTTTGTTTTTGTTTCCTAAAGCGGGGCCTAACGGAGCCCTCCTTCCTGAAGAGGAGTGAGCCAGGTGGATCAGTCCCCTCCATCACCATCTCTATCCCCAAACCCAGCTTCGTTCCTAGTCTCGCTTCAGCAAGTGCAGACAAAACCAGTGCGATTAATCACATAACAGGTCATTATCGCTGCTCTGATGTAGCAGCAACCCTGAAGATCCTATCTGATGTGAAGACCTAACGTTAAGCTGTTCATCATGACTTCCAAACCATTAAAGTTTTTTTTTCTTTCTTCTTCTCTCAAGTTCAAGCAAGGCAGAACTCCCCGATGGCCAAACCATCTTCTTCAGACAGAAGCACGGGGTAAGAAAAGATCATATTTCACTGGTGATCATCAACTTTTTCATCAACAATTAAACTACTGTGGATTTTTCACCATATCTATGAATCAACACACCATGAAACTCGCACATTGTTCCACAACTGGATTCCTCCAAATATCCATCTCTGTATATACCTAATATTTAATCTATACACTCTGAGCTGTTTAACATGTAAGTCGTGACATAAGAGAGTCAGAGGACAAACTTTAAAAACGCTCTCTTTTAAAACCAATTAAGGTAAGCAACTAATAGAATGGTCACAATCTTCCCTTCTCCTCTCTCTGGCAATGCTTTCGTTGAAGGACCTCTTCCTGGAAGCCGACTTTTGAGCCTCCACCTGCCCCCTCAGCCAAGCGACGAAGAAGGTCGTCCCCTGGGCCCGTTATCGTCATAAAGGATGAACCAGAGGACGAGGATGAAGTTCGCTTTGTAAGAGAATTAATTCAGACCAGTATATCTTGAAACTTGCTGTGACATGTGGGCGATAAGGTGTTGGGGACAATATATTGCTGCATGCAGAAGGAGATGTGTTTAAATGTGTTGTGAAAAATAATATTTGGTTATATTTTGTTTTTATTTAACCTTAAAATGGTACCACCAACAGAATACATTAATAATTTCCTGTAAATGTAATAACCCCTGAGAATGTAATAAAATTTGCACTTAACTTGATCCAAACTAATAAAACCCAATAAAATGTAATACCTTTCAGGGGGATAATTTTTCTTCATAAGTGATGATGTAATAATTTTGAGAGGTAATGTAATGTAAAAAAGTGGGCAAGTATACAAAATTTGTAAAACTGTTATGCTGTTTTTAATTCGGATACTTCCGTTCGTACACTTTCACCGCAACCACTGCAGCTTCCCTCCCCTTTTGCTGTGTAGCCAAGATGGCGACCATTTATGGGGAGAAAGGTCCAGCGTTCTACACTCAACATTTTGACTGTTATGAGTTTACCATCCAGGTACTGCCAAACTTGCCAGTGTGACAAATTGAGACAGCACTAGTGTTATGTTAGCCTAGTGAAAACACTAACATTTGACACTGATTTCATGTTTGGAAATGTAAACTCTAGGCTTCATGTAGAATTTGAAATTTACAAATGGCTTTTTGTCATCAGGCAAAGATGCGTGTAACCAAACATGCATGCTGATTGGTCCAAGGAACCACCTTCAGAAGGTGACAAAAGCTGCAGAAGATCCTGAGTAAAGTGATTCTTATTGAATGAAGAATCTCCTTCATCTCGCCTGACCTTGTGAAATTAGTGCATTCAAAAAGAGTTCCAAATCAGTTTTGAAATTAAAAAAATAAAGTTGACCTTAATACTTTTTAGTATAGTAGAAACTTTTTGACTTTTACTTAATTGCACCACCACTGATTATGATGGGGGGGATCCAATCACAGAATTTGTTGTTTTAAAGGTGTTCTGACCTAATATCTGGGTTTTTTACTCTTGTGATGTATTTCCTGATAAGGCAAGCATCACTTTGTGTTGAGAATGGTACTGTCAAATTTCTTCAAGTGCACAGCGCCAAATTGTTTGGTGTGGGGAAATAACACAACAGCTGAGCACCTGCAATTTCTTCAATTCTGCCACCTTCTGGTGTAAAATTGCAGTAGCCTATACCACAAAGGTACAAACAAAATTGTATTACAATATCAGTCAGGACATTTCATTCCATTATTGGTCATTAATGGATGCAACAGTTTACCTAAATGGTTGCTCTGTTTCTTTGCCTACAGGTGCAGTCCAGTGTAGGGTCCAGCCTGCCGGACAGCAGCACCGGGGCTCAGTCAAAGCCTCGGCAGCAGCAAAAGGTGTCTGCCCCAGTCCCGGCCCCCGGATCAGAGTCGAAAGAGCAGCGTCCCCAGCCCACAGTGCAGCCGGAGTCTGAAAAGAGAGCGGAGCCGGAGGAAGATCCTAATGAGGACTGGTGCGCTGTCTGTCAGAACGGGGGGGAGCTGCTCTGTTGCGACAAGTGCCCCAAAGTTTTTCATCTGGCCTGCCACATTCCCACTCTGAATGAGTCCCCCAGGTGAGAGACAGATTGACTCTCAGCACTGTGGTTGCCATGCGATTAATGTGAATACATTCGAAGTCATTGTTGCTTCTCAGAAGACCATTTCCAATTTGTCATTGAAAATTATTATTTTATTCTACTTTTTACTTACCAAATTCAGAGTATTTATAGCCATAACCACTGTAGTAAATATTAGGACATTAACATCTTTAATATTTTTTATAATTTAAAGTTTAGATCAACATTTATTATAGAGATTATTGTGGTGGTGGCGGCTTCCACTTGGGTTCACTTTTAGTTTGAACTTTTTGATCCTGAGTCTGTCATGGACAGTGTTGGGTAACGTTACTTTTAAAAGTAATAATTATCATTCTAAGTCTAATTACTGTACAAGAATTAATCAGAGGAGTAGTTTGCAAAAATGTATATTGATGATTGGGATTCTGGCAATCTGTTATCCATGACAAAACTAAGCCGCCTTGTCAACAGGGACAGACAGTGCTTGCAGATTTCATCATATTCACCACTAGATGGCCAACCCATGCATCTGTCCTAACAGCTTTTCCTGTCCTGATATTTCTCTACAGTGGCGAGTGGTTCTGTTCATTCTGCCGAGACGTCGTATCTCCTGAGATGGAGTACGTCTGTGACAGCAAGGATGACCCTGTCTGTGAAGGGTTCCCACCTGTTGATAGAAGGGTATGTTCACTTAGCTGTTGTTTAACTTTCAGTGAATCATATTCTTCAGTACTTAAGCCTGGTCGTTCTCTTTATATATGATCATTCTTGCGTTTCGACAAAAGTGTTCCAGTTTATTTCCAAAGTCAAAACAAGCTTCATCTCCTAGAGGAAGACTATTTTCTTTTCATAATACATACATATATACACATCTGATCTCTTTTTCATAATATGCAGAGGTGTGAGAGGTTGCTTCTACGTCTGTTCTGCAATGACTTCAGCACGGATTTTCAGCAGCCTGCTTCTCCATCAGTAAGTTGACAGTTTTTGTTAATAAAGTAAAGAAAAATTGTGAAAAGTTGTCTATTAGTTTTTAGAAAAGAAGGGGTAGATGTAATATTTATGCCCTATAAAAAGAGAAGGCTGTACTATATTATTTCAGAGGAGATCATGGTGAATAATTTCTAATAGATTTTAGTTTACTACTTCTGTAAAGGTAAAATTTGTGATTTTGAAAAAGGTTGCTGAGTTACAGTAACACCACTACACTAATGTGCATTGTACTTTTCATGTTATTGCATCATAATTGGCTCACATTGAAAGGGGGATATATTGCCAACAGAAACAAATATATTTTCTAAAATCTTTCAGCCAATTTGAAAAGACACGCCATGAAGTAGTTTTATGTAAGATCATGTTGAGTTGTAGTTGTTTTATTATAAAAAATTTAGTTTGAAAGTGGTTTGACAAATCATTTGTATTAAGTGCTTAACTTTGACTGTTTTTTTAAAATGTAGGAGACAAGAAGGTACAAAGAGCTGATCAAGACTCCAATGGATTTGTCAATAGTGAAGAGGAAGCTGGAGTTGAAGGAGGGTGAATGTTACAGTAGCCCAGAGGAGTTTGTCGCGGACGTCAGGCTCATATTTTTCAACTGCGCAAAGTACTACAAGGTAAACATCGGTTTAATAGAATGTCTTGCCAAAATGTGAATTACCCAATAACATTTCTTTATTAATGAGATAACACATTTCCTGCTTATTAACAATCATTTGCAGGAGCTACAGTTGAGTTTTCAACAAAGATCAGTTATTTTTAAGTAGATTTTCTTTTCATTTCTGTGCTCTGATTATGCAGGTGACCTCAGAAGTGGGGAGTGCAGGCTTGTACTTGGAGGACTACTTTGAGGAACAGTTGAAACAAGTCTACCCAGATAGGGTCTTCCCCGGAGGGAGGGAGGAACAGATGATCCCTCCTTTGGAGGACGAGATAGATGAAGAAGAAGAGGAGGAGATGATGGAGGAAGGCATGGCTCCCGTTGAAGACGATAAACCACAGAGTCCTGCAGGAGAAGGAATCCCCCCCGTAGAAGAGGACTTGCCTCCTCTGGAAGAAACGACAGGCCCTATAGAGGAAGAGAAGCCAGAAACAGAGGAGAAGGTGACTGATTCAAGTGAAAAGGAGATGGATGGAAAGGTAGCGGCCACGGAGGGAGGCGTGCCTCCTGCAGAGGAGGTAGAGCAGGACGAGAACACTCCTGTGCAGGAGATGAGAAGCTCTTCAGCCGCTGATGGGGAAACAAAAGATGGTGAAGCTCCCAGCTCCCCGAAAGAGGAGAACCCTCAGCTCCCTACAGACAAGACAGTAGAGCCACCTGAAACCCAGGAAGAGTCAGCTCCTGCAGGCACAGCCAAAGAAGAGGAGGGGTAAAACGATTACAAGGATGTAGAAAGGATGGATGATTTCAGTCTTCCTCAGAAATGGCCCCAGTGGGGACCTGCATTTGCTGCAATCAGACTTTTTTGTAATATGTTGTATTCGCAATAGGAAAAAAGGGCACTGCTATACCGAATAGACTTAGTTGCAGTCATGGGGTAGATGCACAACGGAGGGAGTAAATAAGCTCTTTGTGTTTTTGCTGGAAAGAGGTTACAATTTTACTGTAACATAGAAGGTTATTTTCTGGGACGACGACACTGAAAAGCACACGTTATTCCTTGTTGATAGACTCATGTGTAAGTTATCATCAGTTACCTTGCTTGCCACTTGTACATAATAATGCCACCAACTGATGGAACAAATGCTGCAATCAAAATAAGAAAATAAGATTTTGGATTAGCAATGCATGAAAGATGTCTTAATATAAATAGTAATGCCTTTTGTTTTTTGTGTTTTTTAGAGTTGAGCTCACATGTACTAGCCATTTGGCCTCTAAACAAATCATGTTTTATTGGAATAGTTTTATTTTCTTTTAAGTAGTATTGTATTAATGCTATGTATGCAACAAATAGGACCGCTTTATGTACTGTAGTGTCTGTACACAAGGAGGTGCCGCGTCTATCAGCACTGCATTGATTTAAACAAGCCCTCGAAGAATTGTGCTGCTCGGTTGCTTCAGAACAAAAATGAATTGCCACTGATTTTGGCCTCTTATCCCTCAAATCCCAACAATGATTTCTTAACAGCAGCCTTGGTGGTTTTTATCAGGAGAACAATTCTCCAGACCTTTATTGACTTTACTGTTATCACTCCTAGATAATTTAGAGACACGATTATCACCTCATCATCAGCCTCTGACGACAATGTGTTTTCCAAAATGTGTGCTTGCTCGTCTGTAGGAAGATTACTTTTACATAAAAGTGGGCCTCAGCCTTACTGTTATAGTTTCCCCCCCCTCACTGAAAGTAATGAAAATTGTGTGCAATGACGCCCAATTAGTCCATTGATAGAGGCTTGTATGAACTAAACTCCTGTATGGCAATCGACTCACTTGAGGTGAAAAGAGTGAGTAAAAAACCTGACAATTTAACTTCAACAAAGACCATGTACTCCAAAATCATCCTTTTTATTATTTATTGAGGATACCCAGGACCTGTAAATGACCGTGATGTTGAGCATAAAAAGTACCTGCATTTACAATATTTGTAATAAACAGGGTTACATGTAGAGCTGACTTGTGCTTTGCCTCCACTATTGTCATGTCTTTTTTTTTTCTGTTTATTCTTTTTTTTTTTTTTTTAAGATAGTGCAACATTCTGCACCATGAATAAACTACATTTGTTTGCAGCCTGGAGGAGGGGTTTTCAAACTGAGGGCTCACCTCCCACTAGGCGTCCCAAGATTAATTCGAGAGGTCACGAGATGATTAGGAAAACGGAAGGGAATGCGGCTGCGGCTCCCTCCCCCCCCCCCACCGCCCCCAAATCTCTAGGCGACGTCTGCGTCGCAGACTTTGGCTGAGATGTTCTCGTTGTTGACGGGACGCTCATCAGAGGAGACACACGCAGTCCACTGCTGCAGTTCATCCGCCGATCATCCCAATAAGTTAATATGACCGCAGCGTTGATACGATCAGAGGGGGGGAAACACTTCAAACTGAGTCCGATGGAACAGTGGACAATAGGTCTACTTTTGTTTTTTTTATCCGGAGTTCTGCATGGAAAAGGTAAGGACGCAACTCACGTTTGGCACTGATATGCAGGATTTGAATTAATTTTAAGACCGTGAGCAACTTTTTATACCTACACTTGTTTATTCAGAGGGATATTATATTACTTATGTGAGGTATCCTACTGTAGATGTTAAACATGTATTTCTCATAAGGCAAGGCAACTTTATTTATATAGCACAATTTATAGTCCACACGAGGCAGACCCCTTTTTATTAAATCTGTGTCAGTCACTGGCACTCAGTGGCAGCCTTGCGGTTTTTTTTTCATCTTTCTACTGTGCCGCATGCTTCCGCTGTCTATTTCTAATCCTTGTGCCATCATCCCAACACTACAGAGATCCACTCTCTTACTATACAAGAGTGCTGTGAGAAGGGGCGGGATCGGGCCTTGGGAGGACATGACTGTACAATTCTCCCCCAGTTCTCTTCCTACACCTGCATGTAAGCAACACCTGGTTTCTTTAAACCCAGCTCTGTCCTGGAGAGGGCCTCAAAATAGGGCCCTAGGACCGAGTAAGGGTTAGTACAGAAGGGTTCGGAGAGGGAATGCATGAGGTTTGTTGTATTTATTAATCAAGTGGTTTTGAAACTCCTATACAAAAATGTCCCTTTGGGTACAGCAGTTCAGTGGGGGTCCAACCTATATTGAAATGTGGAATTTTTTACTGGGAAAATTTTATATTTTTAAAGTAGGAAATACCCCTGGGGATGCAAGCCCCAAATTATCACCAAAGCCCTCAGACAGCCATCCCCCTACAGGGGAGGGGAGGATTCCCACATGGTAACTACACAGTAAGTACAGGCGTTAAGTGGCCCCCTGGAGCATTTTCAACAATAAAGGGCCCCATTTGACTATAAGAACATGGCGGTGGTGATTGATGAAATAGAGGAACACCTGGTCAACACATGGAGGTCAGCGGAGGCAACAGATGCCAAGGAAAGGCAGGGAGCAAGATACTGGAGACAGATTTTTTTGTCCATAGAGACATGAGGAATTTTTTAAAAATGAAATAAATATGAGAAAAGTTTCAATGTAGCTGCTTGCAGTTACTTTTAAACTAAGGTAGGTTACTTATTGTTGCAAGTAAATATGCACCTTATAACAATATAAATCCACTTACAGTCAGCTGATTGATTGTAACTAATGTAAATATTCAGCATTTCTTCACATGCTTCTTCACATTTCTTTTCTGGATGATGATTTATGCTAAATGTCTGCCGTTTCTTGACAGGACTGCACAGGAGCAGTGCTGCACAGCAGCAGTAGAAGACAAACTCTGTGACAATGGCATCAAGATGGCCCGGGGGCAAGGGGCCTGTGAGAGGCCCTTCTTCCAAGGAGAACCCTGGGAAACCCAAGTCTCTAAGGTTGTCCTCCTTCCTAAATATCAATTTTTTCAACCTTTACACGGCTTCTTAGTGTTACCCACATAGACAATACACTTATCCCCTTATAAATCTATGTATAGCGGGTATTTTTTCTGAGCATATCACATTTGAGGTAAGATTTTAACTCTTTTTTTCACTTTTTCAACTGCCTTTCTCTCTTTTTCACCCTCCTGTTTAGATGTGTTGTGACTGTTGTGCGCTCGGCATAATGGCAGAAAGCCGGGGTTTGAGCTGCGAGCTCCGGGGTTTGTTGCTGGGGAGACAGTGTGCATACACAGCTAAAACCTGCTGTGGGAAAAACACAACAGAGGATAAAGGTAAAGGAACTAAACAGTCTTGTGCTTTCAGTGTTCTGTTGTCTAGATTAGCTCCACTCTGTCTTATCATGAAAAAGTGGCTACTGGGTGCCTGTAACTCAAAACAATCAATGTCCTTGACCATTTGCACACATTCTATGACTTCAAGCACAATATCATTTGGTACCACTTTCTAATAAGGTCTTTATAAAGGGTCTTAAAGTCAAAACTAATGCCTAATAGAACTTGTAAGTCCTTTATAAAGGGTACCTTGTTATAAAGTGGTACGTATAATTTTATTAGCACTGTTAGCACAACCTTGTCCCTGACTAAGATTTGTTTGGGATTGAGTTTTCAAAAGACGTTGCATCATATCAAAAGGGCTGATAAATGACCTTATTATGGCAGCTGTGGAGCAGATTGCTGCCAGAGAGACAAACAGACTAGGTCACCGTGGTATACACAAGGCTTATCTGTAAACACCTTGCCAAATGGTAACTCAGGGCCAACTGGTGTCATGGCTTGTAGCTTTTGTCGCCTAGTTGGCTACAGGTGAAAAACACAAACATTTGATGAGGCTTTTTCTTCCTCAGAACCAGTGACAGAAAAGCCTAAGGCCAACGTTCCTGTCAATAGGCCTCCAGAGGGATCGGACACCTGTAGAGGTTTGCCATCTTCATTTCTTAATGTGATCTCCTTTGTTATAGTAAGAGCTGTAAGAGGCTGAGGCACCGGCCTCTTGTTGGCTTTGTCTTCCATCAGCCAGTGACACGATTCCTGAGATCTACACACACACTGTACACTGCAATGTATTCTTGCTCACGTGTCTCTCTCTCTTTTCAGACTCCAATTGCTCCCAGTTATGTGTAGGTAACAGTACATGTTCATGCCATGATGGGTATCGACTGCAAAACGATGGAGTGAATTGTAAGGGTAAGTAATGTAAATGAAAGCACAACTTCATCACTTTACCACTTAAATGTTATCAGCAACTTCTTAAATAGTTTTTTTTAGGCCTTATAAGCAGAATGACTGTAGTGTCAGTGTGATGATCTGTTGGTCGGTCCATTCCTTTGGTCCAGAAATATCTCATAAGTTATTATATACAGTCTCCCATCCCTCTTCAGGATGAATTGTAATCACTTGGTGATCCCTTCATTTTTCACATAGTGCCACCAGCAGGGCAAAATTGTATTTGTCCAATACTTTGGTTTGTCACCATACACCTGCAAAACAAATAAGATTTCAATCAGCCTCTATACCTTGTGTGTAGTGCTAATTAGCAAATGTTAGCATGCTAATATGCTAAACTAAGTTGGTGAACATGGTAAATTATACTTGCTAAACTTGAGCATGTTAGCATTGTCACCATGAGCATGCTAACATTCTGTAGATCAAAACACTGCTTTACCCACAGTCTCACAGAGCTGCTACCATGGCTGTAGAGTCTTGTTCATAAAAATTAAATGTGACTGCACAATCCACTGAAAATACTTTAATATACAGACAGACTGCTTTACTTATATTTGAGTGGATGTGTCTCTCCTCAGATATTAATGAGTGTCTGACTGGCAGTCACAACTGTATCTTCGGCCAAGTTTGCATTAACACAGAGGGCTCCTTTCGCTGTCAGAGGGAAACCAGCTGTGGCACCGGGTATGAACTCACAGATGCCAACACTTGCCAAGGTAACCACTCAAGAGCACTGTAAAAATCACAAAAAAATAAATAAATAAATATCACAATAATGCTGGCTGTTATTATCCTGAGAGTACCAAATGAATCCTTCCTATTCCTGCAATTTTAGTTCCTTGATATCAAGTAGGAAAAATAACCAAGACATAACCTATGGTTTATAGTATTTCATGTAAAGAAAATGCATAAAAAGTATACTTATACTTTGATAATTTATTCCTCCTTACCTGATCCAGACATAGATGAGTGTGCACTGGGGACTCATAACTGTGGACGAGACTTCATTTGCACCAATACTGCAGGCTCGTTCCGCTGCCACCCAAAGGACACGTGCGCTGGCGGTTTCATTCAGGATGCAGTCGGCAGCTGTATTGGTGAGTATAGTGTCACACTCAAGTAAAACCATTCCACAGGTAAAAGAAGAGATGGCTTTCTTAAGGTGTTTTCTCATTAGATATAAATGAGTGTGTGGCCCTTACCAGTCCATGCCCGCCTGGCCAGACTTGTATCAACGCAGTGGGCTCCTACACTTGTCGCAGATACACAGTCACCTGTGGACGAGGCTATCATCTAGCTGAGGACGGCACACGTTGCGAAGGTAGATACTGCTACAACAAACTTTCTACTTGTCTCCAATATTGTGTTATTTTGTAGAAAGAAATTTCTGGATGCCACCATAATTTTTTTTTACTTAACAGAGATGAACTAAATAGTAATTTCTCCCCGTCATGTTACAGATGTAGACGAGTGTCGTACAGGCAGTGTGTGTGAAGGCCATGGATGTGTCAACCTGATGGGCTCATACCGCTGTGAATGCAGAAAGGGCTTCAATTTCAACACTATCACCAAACTGTGTGAAGGTACAGTGCAAATTCAGCATGTATGTATGTGTGTATATGTATGTGTGTGTGTGTGTGTGTGTGTGTATACATATATGTGTATATATATATATATGTGTATATATGTATGCATATATGTGTGTATATGTGTATATATGTGTGTGTATATATATATGTGTATATATGTATGCATATAATATGTGTGTATATATGTTTGTGTGTGTATGTGTATACTGTGTGTGTGTGTGTATATATGTGTGTGTGTATATATATATATATATATATATATATATATATATGTGTGTGTATATATATATATA